CCCCAAAACCCCAAAACCCCAAAACCCCAAATAACTTTCTGGAAGGATTAATTATTCTATATATTAATTTGTAACAACATGAGCGAATCTGAACTATTTCCTGAAGCCACTAAATTCACATATGCCAACACTGATGGATACCAGAAAGACAGAATATTTGATCCTTACACGTACAGACACAACTACGATGAGGACCAGTTAGAGACTCTCTTGTCTAAATATGTAACAGAGCTCTTAGATGTACATAATGAGTCAATCAAATTTATGGAAGCGGCTCCGGAAAATAAGTTATTAGCCAAGTGCAAAGACAGTATTGAATTTGGCATCCATAGGATCCGGTCATTGAAAGTACTCATCAGCGTCACTCAAGAAAATTTAAGAAATTATTACAGTGCTGAAGAAGAGATTCAAGAGTTGCCGATTGATTCAGAATTCAAAATCATTCAAACTCATGAGAATTCTGATTCTGAATCTGAGGAAGAAAAATTCGATAGATCAGTTGTGATTGACCAAGCCGAGGATGCAATTATGAGTCCTTTAGCTTTGAATGATGGCATTCTGGCCTTGCCAGAATACCATCCAAGGGTTAAAGTAAAATATCTTCAGAAGTTAATAACAGGAGAGAAGATTGCATCTATCCCCTCGGTTTATATAACCCTAGCCTGAATTGTCAAAATGCTGGAAAGAATTAAGGTTGAAATGTACATCTTAGAAAATGAAGAGTGTGGTACTAGTCAATACAAGAATGTGTTTAGCTGGACATTAAAACTAGCTAGCATTTTTGACTATTATTATGCTTCTTTAAAAGCAAAGCTGAAGAACCCATTTTATGGGAAAGAAGAAACTGATGAAATTCAGGAGCATTTTGAATTCGTTGAAGTCCTGGATGAAATCGAATATTATAAGCTTGCAGATAAAGGATATCAAGAAGCAGGAAGAGTTTTAGGTGTGGCATCTAAATGTTGAAAGCATACTAGCATGTGTAGGCAACTATTTTCTTTAGCAGGGTGGCTACCAATGTACTACTTTTTCAAACGTAAAGAAGGAGCTGATAAAGGTCTTTATTTTATGAACACCTTAAATAAAGAAAGATTTCAAAGACTTAATAAATGGCCTCAGACTGGCTTGGTAAAATCTATAAGTAAAATCACATCTCCGAAGGTGAAAGTGGAGGAAAAAATTTTTGTTCAAATTTCTGTTAAAGATGAGCTTTCATATAAAAGAAATATAAGCTCATCCAAAACTCCTCAGATGTGTAAATAAAGATCTTGATCTCCCCTTCCGAGTAAAGATGAAGCATTATGATCCTGAAGAATACCTTAAGATTCGTATTACCTCAAGTGAAGACTGGGACACTGTGAACTGGAAGAAAGGAAAGCTAAAATCCCCAGATTCAGAGCCTGTCACTCTTCCTGCAGCTATTCTTTATATCCATGGAGGAGGATTTATTGGTGGTTCAACTGGATCTTATAGAAATGTTTTAAGAAAGTATGCTACCATGACTGACTGTCCAGTCTTCTCTGTTGATTATAGACTAGCTCCTGAATATAAATATCCTACCCAGGTTAGTGACAGTTGGCTATGATATCTCTGGATAAGATACTATTCAGAAAAATACCTTGGCGTTAAATTCGAAAAAATAATCGTCGTTGGAGATTCAGCAGGAGGTTGAATTTCTTTAGGAGTCTCTCTACTTGCTATCCAAAAAGGCTGAATAAGTCCAGATGGACTCATGCTTTGTTACCCAGGTGCTTGAGGGAATAGGAATGAGTTCTATCCTTCCTGATTACTTTCCACTGACGAGCCGTACCTTAACACAATGTTTATCGATTTTTGATGAACATTATTATTTGATGATGAGAAAAGAAGTAGAGAATTCATTTGTTCACCTATTTATGCTCCTCGTAAATTACTAAAGAAGTTACCTCCAATGAGAGTAGGAATCCCAGCCATCGATCCACTTAGAGATGCTGCCATAGAACTGTTCAGGAAATGAATAAAATCAGGATGAGACGTAAAAGGAAAAATTTACAAGCATCTATTTCACGGATATCTAGAAATGGATGCCTTCCCATTCTATATGAAGGACTGAGAACTTGCTTTTAATGACTCAGTAGAATATATTTTAGAGTTGATAGGACCTGGTCTCTATTTCAGTTAAAATGCCTTGGTTGTTTTTAACATAAAATTCAGAATATCTTCAATAAGCCTCACTATTAAAGGGGTTTTGGGGTTTTGGGGTTTTGGGGTTTTGGGG